GGAACCCAGGATGCTCCAAGTCCTGACCTGCTCAGGGGTTAGGTCCCTCTGAGCCTGGGCCAGCATTTCAAAGCCAACCATGAATTTCCGGACAGTGGCAGAGCGCAGGAGTGGGGTAGTAATGAGCATGCAGTTGCCAGTGATCCCAGTCAGCCTTGGCCTCTGATCCTGTGGGAGCCCCTGGCAGAAAGAAGAAGGTACAGATCGCTGGGGGAGCCCGTTCTTAGTTCTTCAGCCAAGCCCCTATGCCCAATCGGGCCAAATACCTGAAAACTACATCTCTCAATGTCCCCTGCACAGAGGAGCCCCTGGCAGTGGAAAGCATGTGGGACACACTTTCACAAAGTTTGCTGCTCCACCCTCGGTCCCACCATTCCTGTTCCTACCTCCCGCAGCAAGAGTTTCAAGGCCTGCTGGGAGTTAGAGTACAATGGTTTAGACCCCAGCAGCTGAGAAATGGTGCTGAGGCTAGATGTAGGTACTCAAAAAAGGCTCACCATGCCAGCCCATGGAGTAGGGAAAGGAAGTTTCAAATAGGTTGTCGTACTTGGTCAAGAGCTTCTTCGTGACAGAGGCTAGAGCTGGAACCAGAGCATGACTCAGTCTGGAGGCCAGATGCTGGCCATGCCAGAGCCACCCTCATCCAGAGCCCTAGAGTCGCAACTGGGAGACTCACCATCATACTCAGAGGAGGTCAGCTCAGGCAGCCGACGCACATGCCAACCGGGCAACAGCAGTGACTGGAAGGGCCACACTGCCCAGAAGGGAACCAGCACTAATCAGTGCTCACTGGTTAGGACCAGACGTTCCTGGGCAGACACAAAGGAGATGAGGGCATCAAGGCTGGGAAGTGGTGGGGTGTCAGCAAATAAATAGGGGAAGCAGAGGAAAAATATACCCACATCAAATAGCTTCTAACCACCTCTGCTACGACCACCCTAGTCTAAGCCACCATCATGTCTCCTTTAAATTATTGTTATGGCCTCCTAGCATGTCTCCCTGCTAGTTCCCTTCCACCTTTCTCCTTCACACACCTCTCTTTGGGGGTGAGAAGGCTAAGGGCTCCTTGGGCATACAGGGCCTGGCTCTCTCCCACCTTCCTGAGCAGTTCCTGGTGGTCATACTCCATTAGCAAAGGTTCTCCATGGTGATTCTGATAGGCCTGCTGAGACTGCTCCTCACGCTGGGCAATATCTGGCAGGAAACTGCTGGCCCACACCTATAAAGGGGCAGGAGCAGAGAAGAACAGTAGGCCTTCACCCCCAAGCCTCCACATAACTGGCATACTTCCTTCGTCCCCTCCCTTAAGGCAGTTCCTCTCCCCAGTACCAGCTATGGCCCAGTCCAGAAACCCCAGAGAGCCTGACATACTTACCTGGCAGTGGGGGTGGGGATTGGAACAGCCCATCATGGCTCCATTGTTATCAAAGATCTAACAAGTAGAGGTAGGGAGCTTTACTAGCCAAAAATACCCCAAGTCAATCACCCCACCATCACACTGCTAATAGAAACAGGAATAACACTCCCCAGAACTAAAGCTGTACCACTCCCTCCCTGCCATCCAGGCTAGGGGCCTCACACACCTGCACCCAAGGGAACTGGGCCCCCAGCTCCTCTGTGACAGAGGCCCATGCATCGCCAACAGCATGGATCTCAGGGACTGACATGAGTGGCAGCGTCATGTCAGACCAGGGGTGGAAGCCCATGACCTCACCAGGTGACAGGATGGAGAGGGATGACAGAGGAACAGGGCTTGGCTGTGCTGGAGGCAGGACTCACCTGCAGTGCTTAGTCCAGGCCCTGGATAGAAGGGAAAATACATAGTTACCAAACTCCTCAGGCAGCCTTTGCTCGGAAAGGGGGGTGATCACTGAGTCCTGAGAGAAAGGGGTATCACTCTCTGCAGAAGCCCCCAAAGAGGCCCAGGCTCCCCCAACCCCTATGAGCAGCTGGGGCCACTTTACCTGGATTGGGGGCATCAGGCTGCAGAGCTGGGAAGTCATTGTCCAACAGGAAGGTGCCCTCATAGTGGGGATTCACCTAGCAGCAAGGAGAGGCTAGAAGCATTTGCTGCCCCACACCACCAGCCATCTGGTGGGCTTCAAGGGCTGACAGACTACCAGAGGGTGGAGAAGGCCCCTTCTGGGGAATAAAAATGCTTACTACGATCTGACCCAGAAGGAGGTCTACAGCCCCTATGAGTGGGGGCAGCTCTAAGGAAGGGCTACTTCTCCTGGCCCACGGGATGTGAGCTTTAAAGGCTTACTTCTCCGTTGGCTCCTGTAGCCCCAGGACACAGAGGGTTGTGGGGTTCATGGCACAGCACTGTCTCCAGAAGTGGGGGCTCCACTTGTCCCTGCCAGGACTGCTTCATGCAGTGAGCTGACACAGCACCCACTCATCTTGCAGTGGGTTGTAGCGAATATGCTGATGCTCTAGGGGCAGATGGTCAAGGACAATCAGCAAAGGCCCAGCCTCCTGCTCTCCCCTGGGTCTCATTCCCTAGCAAGCCACAGAGGCGCCCTCTAGGTCCCACCGGGCTCAGGGGCCAAATGTCCCGGTTTGGACTTTCCCAGTCCAACTGGCCTGCAGCCGCAACACCAGAGTCTCCTTCTCTGTGGGCCTGGCCCCGGGTGGGCGCGCGGACCCTGTGGGTGGAGCGAGAACTTCCTGGGGAAGGGGAGGGCTAGGGCCGCGCCCCAAAGACAATGAGTCCAGACAGCCCTGCAAATACCGCTTTGGCCGGAAGGTTGTTTCCGGGGAGTCCGCCTCTGACGCCTGTTGGCGCTGCTCAGTGCCGGCTCCACTATGTGACATGAAGCCACAGGGCAAATGCCTCTGGAAAGTCAGCCCCGCCACCCCGTTACCCTTCCAGCCCTGGATCCGTCCTGTTCCCGCTGACTGGCCGACCGCCAGCATGTGACTGCCGGGGAGGGCGCCCGATCTCTTGTGGGCGGAGCATTCGACCACAAGGCTCTGTGGGAGAGGGCTACGGTCCTGCCACTCTCCCCTAGGCCGAAGTCTATTTTCAGGAAGAACCTCTGTAAAAGCTGCCTACTGCAGAGTCCCTCAGCGCCTGGACGCTTTTAAGAGTTATTTGCTGCATTCATTCATTCATTTGGTCACATATTCAACCATGTGCCAGGTATCTAGGCTCCCCGTGGGACTCGGGATGTCCGTGTGGCCATGGACACATGCCAGGTGCGGCTTCTGCCTTCTCGCTGCTTACCTTCTAGGGCAGAGCACCTGCGTGGCCCCTGGATCCACAATCACCTCAGTCCTGTGCTCAGCATCTACCTTGGTGGGCAAGGGGGTCTTGATCTTATCTCTCAGAACTTTGGCCTCAGGTGTTACCTGGAGGAATGGATATTTACCATCGCCCTATCCCTTTGCCACCAAAATCAAAATCAAAATACACTGCAGTACAGTCCATTCTGACCATAGCAACCCTATGGGACAGGGCAGAACTACCCGCATAGGGTTTCTAAGGCTGTAAAGGGTTACAGAAGTGATTACCACATCTTTCTCTTATGAGGCTGGTGGCAGGTTTGAACTGCCAACCTTCTGGTTAGCAGTCAAATGCCTTAGGCACTGTGCCACCAGAGCTCCTTCCTCCTTCCCCAACAGGCAGTAAAAATAGGTTTGGAAAAAAGGACTAAGTTAATCACATTCTCCTTCTCCTCCCCCTTCCTCTCCCTCTTCTCTTCCCCTCTCTTTCTCCCTACCCTCCTCCTCCCCTCCCTCCCTCTCTCAGAAACACACACACACAGAGAGAGAGAGAGAGAGAGACCAAAAGCACAGTGGGATGAGTAACAGCTATACAAAAAAAAAAAAAAAAATTGCCATCTAGTTGATTCCAACTCACAGCAACCTCATGTGTTGCACAGTAGAACTGAGTTCCATAGCACCAAGAGGCTGTGATCATCGGTCCATTTTTCTGAGATGCCTTTAGATGGGTTCAAACTTCCATCTTTTGGTTAGTAATTGAGCTCCTAACTGCATTGCACCCCTAGGGCTGCCATAAGAAGGCTGAAGAAATCTGAAAATGTAGGTCAGGATTGTCAAGAGCTGCCGTCACCATCTGGGCATAGTCAGAAGTGTTTCTTTACACACAGTGGTGCAATGGATTGCTTTAATATGGACTTTCTAGCCATGGTCTTGCCACAAAGTAAGTGGATGAGATTATGCAAATAATGTGCTTGGGGCCCACCCAGGGAATTGGACAGCTTGCTAATAATGCATATAAAGTGATGACACCCTATTGGGTTGGAATCATGCAAATAAGATACATAGAACCCCTGTGGGGGTGTGACCATGAAAATAAGGTGTGTGTATGGAACCCTAGTGAGGGAATTGGTCAGTTTTGCCATCCTGCTAGGCTTAAAATAAGGAGCTCTGGTGGTGGAATGCCTAAGGTATTTGATTGCTAACCAGAGGGCTGAAGTTCCAGCCACTTCTCAGAAGGAAGATTGGGCAATCTTCTTCCATAGTGATACCACCTCAGAAAACCAAGGAGGGATCACTGTGAGTCGGACCCGAAAGAGGCTTAAAATAAGCCATCCCAGAGGCAGAAGGGGGGCACCTCACTACCACCAAGAAGAGACAGGAGAGGAGTACCCCTTTGGACCTGAGATCTCTGCACTGAGAACCTCCTAGACCCAGGGGACAGATGGCTGTAACACTGGAGACAACAAGAGACAGTGAAAAGTAGTGACAGAGAAATGTGGCAGCAGAGGCAGTAGAACCAGAGGACCAGGAGGAGATGGTACAGT